TGGGGCAGGGCAAGGGGCCGAGAAGAGACCCCCCCTAGTTCTGCGGGCTGGAAAGGAGGAGGGGGGGGGGTTGTATTTTCAGATTGCAAGATTCTGTCAATGTAGCTTTACAATAAAGTAGAATTCGCTCATCTGGTTGTGATTCCTATTGGGTTTACTCCACAAGGCCAACACCATCCCTGGATTTATATGCACTCTGGCTTATTCAACTAATAGTATAATGTGTGAATCCAGCCTTTCTATTATTGAAATACATACGTTTAAGGGACAAAATGCATTCAGAATGAGAGAGAAATATCTTGCTACATAGCATAAGGATTTATCACTCTGAAAATATATTTCTGGAAGGATTCATATAGCGTCATTATATGCATTTGGAACTGCATCCATACATAAGATATACATGAAACGAATAAAACTGTAGTTTTATGGACCATCATATCACTGTTTTCAAATTGGAGGCTTGAAGTTTTGAAATCTCCAGTAAAAAGGAGGCAAACATCTTTGTTCCACTGATATAGTTGAATCTGATCAGGAAAGGAAAGGAAAGAAAAGCAAAGCAGTTGTCAAACAATCTAAAAGTTAAAGACACTATGTTACTTTGCAGTTCTAAACAGCTGGGCTGTGGGCTGAGTTTGAAATACGAACCCAGACATTTTGTTTAGTAAATGATGGGTTTTGGCTTAGTATTATGTCTCAAAGAGGCTGTAATGAGGTGTCCAACAAATCATGGTTAAAACAAATATTGGCTTAACACAAAGTATAAACCAAGTTTTATATAACCTGACACCTCTATAAACACTTTTCAAGCGCCTGAAATGAGACAGGCAGTAATACACCCAAAAATGGGGGAGAAATAATTATCCTCTTCCACAGTCATCCCCACCATGAAATTAATTTAACTGTTGAACCTGCTTATTTTCTCTTTCTGGGAATGCTCCCCATCGTCCATTGCGCCAATTGGAAGCATCATCACACTCTTCCTTGTTATATCCTGAAAGACCCTGGCAATGGGAATTGTTGATCCATCCCGGATCATATCTGGATCCTGGTTAAAAACTGAAACACAGGAAAAGAGAAAATACATTCCTGATGTAAAATTTATGTTTTTATGGTGGCATAAATAAATAAATAAAGTAAGTAAGTAAGTAAGAAAGATATCCTTACTGGCAAGTGATATACAGTATGTTGGTAAGCATCTCAAGATACTTAAGTATGAGTCATTCTATAGAAACTAATTTAGCAATTCCAACGTTCCATGCTGTGCTTAAGTTTCAGTAGAAATGGGAAAAAGCTTGAATGGTTGCCTTTTATCCCCTGGCCTGCCTGTACTATATCATAATTTGTTTTTTAAATCTCTTCAAAAGTGGCTTTTGATGCAACATACAGATGTTGTATCTGAAATGTGCTTATAGGATAAAACTACTGTTGGGTAACTGAACCATTGCTTCTATCTGTATCTGAACAATCTTTCTATTTCCAGTTCTATAGAACTTTAAATGGAAAAATGCACAAGCATAATATAAATGATTAGCCTTTGTTGCTTGTCCTTATAAAGACAGAGGAAAGCCACATGCAAAACAAAACCTGCAATGCCTAAAACAGTACAAACCTTTTCTGATTGCCTTTTTAGCAGCTGTATACTGAGGATCATTAATATTGGCAATCCAGGGCATTGAACTCATTTCCATAGACACTGTCAGTTTATTTGGACTTCTTCGGTTAGAGAATACATCTTCTAAATGTTTTTTCACCTAAAAAAAGAAATACATTAATTTCAGTTTAAAATATGTATAGTCTTTGAAATTATTTGTATTGTGTTTAGCTCAAAGCAGGAAGCCTCTGACTGAATGAGTGAGCTAGGTTAGCAGATCGGGGTGGGGGGGGGTCAACTAAAATTAAGGTGGTAGTCACAACCATCCAATCATAAGGCATAAGGGGTGGGTCTTGATCACCACCACCACCCATGGATGGCCCTGCCTCTAGTAACCCTCCATGCCTCACCTTCAGTCTCCTTCTGGTATGCCTGCTGTTCTTTAACTTTCTCCAACTAGAACCTCTTCACAGTCTTTAGCCTGTGCCAGTGTCAGGAGTTTGTCATAGAGAAGTTCTTCCCACCCAGAATCTGGCCTATAAGCAGTTTAGTTTCTTCCACCCCCACTTCACAGACTGCAGCTCAACAACTTGAAGGAGAAAGGTACAGTTGTGATTTTGGCAAGACAAGAGATGGGCCCCTTGGTGATCAAACAATATTGTGAGTCACCCAGAGTTACCCTCTGGGAGAAATGGGTGGCATATAAATTAAATAAATAAATAAATAAATAATATTGGGATCTGAATCTTGCAGCTATACCAAATCATTTCACATCATTCTTGTTTTCCATAGACTGGGCCCTGAAAAACTATTAAAAACTGACAAGTCATTAAAAAAAGCCTTTCTCGAAAGAAAACAGACAATTCCAGCTGGTTGATTAGTCAGTTTCTTCCCTAATTCTGACTCAAAGAAGCACAGTAACCCAGCAATGCTAAGAAGGCAAGGAACCAAAAGCAACTAGGCATGCAGTTAAATTTCACTATTTATTTGGCCTAGGAAGCCAGCTTTTCGTCACTCTGCTGTGGTCTATTAACACCAACTATTCAGGGCTTAGACTGTAATATGAGAAGTGGAATAACCCAAGGTCTGCTAGTATGACAAAGCCCTGTTACCAAGGTCTTTTGCAGATAATTCAATGTCCTGCTTAGCTGCTCCTTTTTCATATATCTCATTATGAAAAAAAGGCCTGGTACCAAAAGTGTCAGACTAAGCCACTCAGAAACATGCTGAAGATCGATGACTAATCATCTAAGATATGTTGAAAGTCATAAGGTTTCAAGAAGCTATTACCTGATGTTCCACTTTAGACAGGTTCATGTGAGGGACTTGCCGGATTGAAAACTTTCCTATGACTCTTGATGGTATAACTGTTTTCATGCCTGGTTCATAAAAAGCTCCCTCTATCCCATGAATAGAGAGAGATGGCAAGCGCCACATATGTAAGAGTATTTTCTCCTTAAAAAGGGAATGAACAAAGCAAAATAGAAAATTTTAGCCAGAGTGCATTCAGTAAAGCAAGTGAGCAATGACATCACTTTCAGGATATCTTTAAATATTATTCCAATTCCATTGCTTTTTCCGTGGCTGCTCTCACAGAACTAAAGCCAAGTTTAACAGCCAATCATAAACAATTTACTATGTTAAGCAGGTGTCAGCCCTCCAACATAGACTAGACTAGGAAACCAAAGTTACTCATGCCAATACTACTTTTATTATAAGGTTATAGGAACAGAATCTTGCAAGTCTGGATGTGCTTTCCCCATCCTTCCCTTTATCTCTGAGAGAACTAGGGAAAGTCACTTCTGGGGGAGAAATGGTGAACTGAAGATGACTAAAAGTGGAGCCAACAACCACGGCAGAAAGAAGAGCCAGTGAATAGACTGGCTCTTTGTAATTCCTCTCCAGATAAGGAGAGGATTTGAGATCACCCACAAGTGCTCCAGACAGTTGCTTCTCATGAGGAAATTGCAAGACAGCAGTCAATGGTGGGTTTAGAACTCTGGGAAACAAGGGAATAGCCATCTTGCTCAAACTGTGCTCGGTGCCTTCAAAAGGACACTGGGTTTGCATACTTCTTTTTCTAATCACTTTTGGAAATTGCTTGTTAACTGTTTTTCAGCTATTAGGAACCTTTGGATTGACAGGTTTTACTAGGTGAGCTTCCTTCAAACCTTAGCGAAAGAATTTTAAATACAAGTTTAAGGACTTTAAATTTTTTTTAATAAACAGCAAAAGGGTGATTTAGAACTTTGATTTTGGAATGTTACAAATGGACTAAGGGTCCATATGGATTTGAAATAAGATTTTGGAATTAATTATAAGAATCCTTCCCATGGGAAAATGCTTTTGTTTTGAATTCTTTAAAAAAACATACTAGGATGGGACTTTGAAGGTTGGACACCACAGTGAACCAGAAGGAACTAAAGATTACAATTAAGGGAGAAGAACACTTAAATTTGACTTACAAATACAGAATGAGGTAAAATATTTTAACATTGGACATAGTGAAGGATATTTTTGAACAGTGGACTCATTGTTAATTTTAAGAGTGTCTGCCTCTATAGATAGACTATGTTTAAAAGATGTTATAGAAGATAAGCAAGTTTTATCTGAAAGTTTGAGACTGATCTGAAAGTGGATTTAAAAATCACAGGCTACAAGAATGATATGGAAAAAGATGCTATACTGGATATACAAAAGAAACCAGCTGAGGTCTTAATAATTAGAAGGGATATATAAATAACAAACCAAGAGAGTAACCTGTATAATTTTCCTATATTGGATTTAGAAAAGAGGCTTGTTAAAGTTTTGAAGAACTTTGTGAGAAGGGACAAAGAAAAAATGAAAATAAATCAAGTTCTAGGATATTATTTGAAGGGACTAAAGATCAAGATTGTTAGAAGTAAAAGGAAGGAATGTAAAGTTGGTTTATTTGATCAAGGTTAAAATAAATATGTTGTTATCTCTGATAATCCTTAATGGACTTTTCTGACATCAGGACTGAGATGATGAGGTTTTATACTAAAGATCAAGATTGTTAGAAGTAAAAGGAAGGAATGTAAAGTTGGTTTATTTGATCAAGGTTAAAATAAATATGTTGTTATCTCTGATAATCCTTAATGGACTTTTCTGACATCAGGACTGAGATGATGAGGTTTTATGGATTTATAGATAGGAGATGGGATATGGGAAGATTTGTTGCATTTTAAGAGAAGGTGATAAATTACTAAAATTGTTTATACTTGTGATGAAGGGGGAAGTCACTTCTTTATATATTTGTTTTCTTTTTCTTTACTATGTTCATGTCCTGCAGCAGACTCAAAAAATAATTCTTATGTCATTTATCTCAATGAGAACATCCCAATAGATGGACCTTTCCCCATTTGCACCTGACAATAGCATAAATATGCCCTGGCAACAGCTCTTTTGTGGTACGTCCTCTTGAAATTGCCTTCATGTCACTCCAGTCTATCTGAGACACAGCCTTAAGTTATCCTTAATTGTGCTGATGTTGTGTTTTTCCCCTTATTCCTCACCATCCAAGGGCAGCGTTAAGATATGTAAAACCTTCTAGGCTTTCTCACCCATTAACTTAGAGGGAAGTCAAGTGACTGCACTTACTTGAAACAGATGTGTTAGAGGCAAGTTAGGTATTGGCAAAGGGGCATAGTGTCATGGAAAGATAGCTTCATGAGAACTCAAGGATGGATGGACAGGCCCTCCAATGCCTGGTTTGAAGGATTTTTTTTTATGACACCAGTGAGGATATAGTTGAGATTCTGCTTCTTCACACCAAGACTATGTTTCAAGTCATATACAGCATGACCCTAACAAATAATGTGTCTAGGTTGTTTAAAGGTTAATTTTACAACCTGAAAGTTACTGACAAGAAAATGTTTCCATGGGACTAGAGTAATGATTAAAGTTGCTATTTCTAAACAGTTACTTGTTAGGTTAATTGAAGTACCTGCTACAGGGACATTTTCATGTCTGACAAGAGGAATAAAATTGATATTTTCCTTTTTTTCACACAAATCTTTGGAAAGCAGACAACTATAAATAACTGTAATGAGAAAGGGTCCTGTTGTTTCTTCATAAGATGATGGGTTGAAATTTTTACCATGTTTTACAAAATCATAGAAAGCACTAAATGTGTGTATCTCTCCTGCTTCCTATTCATACTGAAAAATGTGAAATCACTCTTGGGAATAAGAATCAGACAGATATTAGATAAAATGGGAGATCTAGAACCTAGATACTAGACGTGGTCTTTCATGTCTACCCAAACAAGTGGCAAAGTGGAAAACAATAAATACCATGTATGATCATGATAATGAAGGGCCAGATCTATTGTGATTAAACTCTCTGACTATTAATAACAGATCAGGGCAACATTTTTATCAAGGTATTAAATACTCCATTCAAAAAACCAGCATTATGTCCATAAAACACATTGATACAAAGGGGCACAGCTACAAACCTGAGCTTCATTTTCTACTAGTACTTATTTTCTTTCTACCATATATTTTAAATTGTTTTTCTTCAGACTTATTTTCTTAATGGTAACATTATTGGGTGTTCCTATTGCTTTTATTTATTTCTCTTTGCCTGCCCACCTTTCCTTTTCTACCCAGTGCTTCCAAAGGGACTATTTCTCATAAAACTAATCAGAAGATGTGCATCTATTCTCTCTTCCTCCCTTTTTGTGAAAAAAGAGGACAGAATCTGCAGTGTGAAATACGTTGGATATACATGGTCTTGTGAATGTGGAGTTTTGTAACCATTTCTTCAGACTGTCATTGAAAGTACTATACCTTGGTATCATAGAGGAATTCCTGCACTCCAAGATTTGATTTGTGTTCTTCCACATCAAATTCTATTAACTCATACTGCTTTTTCTCCTGTTGTGTAAATGGAGCCACATCATCATACATTCCAGGGATCAGAATCTGTCCAGATGAATTCACAAGACTGTCTATGGAACCAAAATAAAATGTAATCATTATTTTATCATATGCTTTTACTGTTCAATGAAATCTAGTTAAGATATTGCCTGGTTCTGATCCAGTGTTTCTCAATCTTGGCAACTTTAAGATGTCTGGACTTCAACTCCCAGAAGGCTAGCTGGGGAATTCTGGGAGTTGAAGTCCAGACATCTTAAAGTTGCTAAGGTTGAGAAACACTTCTCTAATCTGTTAAGGGAGGGAGGAAACTAAAAATGTAGATGTTATTGTGCCTAATGTAGAATATAGGTGTGGATAGAAAATGAAGGAGAGCCATTTTAAAATAAAAGGTAATACATTCTGGTATGTTTACTTCTGCCTTACAAACTGATTTAAACAAAACCAATTTAAGTTTTGTGTGATTTAAGCCTCTGCATCAATTAATTTTCATACAAATTATACCAGCCAATATAACAAGAGGTTAGTTTAACGTCAGTTAGCCTCATGCCATGTTCTGATTACATTCCACTTCAGTGTTTTAGCCTTACAGTTAAGATCTCCTTAAATATCACAATAACATTTGGCATTGTTGTGAAGGCTGTTCTAGATGGCCATTTACAACTTTCCCATATTTTCATAGAGCATCAATCATTCATGAAATTATCAGAAGGACACAATTAAACATTTTCAACCCATGTTTTGGCTTTCATGGTACTACAGGTGTTGATGAAATGGGAGGCCACCCATTCCCATAAATAAAAACTTTGGCTAACTATATGACTAATTCCATATAGACAATATATACTTGTCTTTTTTACCAAGCAGAGCTACCAAATCAGACATGGGTTCATGGATGATGCCACCCACAGTTCCCGAATGAAGATCTTTTTCACCACCTTGTACCTAAGTAAAATAAAGACAATATATTGGTCATCACACAAATAAAGTCAACATTTAAATGAATTTTGAATTTATAGTACTGGTGTTTTATTCGTGCTTCCACCAAGGTTAATTGTAAAAAAATGAATTGGTTTTTGTCTATCAGGTAGCATGGATTCCTCCAACGTTCAAGCCTTCTGTTGCCCTTGCTGTATCAGGATTATTGTTTAACGGTTATGTCTGTAACTCCTTCATGGATCACTGCCTTGTCGTGGCGAAGGGGCTTGCGTAACTCAGTGAAGCCA